TCCTCCCGACCTCAGACTGCACAGGGACCCACAGAGAGCAGCTCCTCGGACATTTCGCGGGGTTATTGGCTTAACAGTGCCACTGGCCCTACATGGCACATCCCGGGACAGCAGCAGCTCCCAGGGATCCCCCAGGAGGCCACAAAGGTCCCCGAGCCAGTGACCAGCACCAAAATGGGGGAGATTGGTTCAAGGGGAAGGGAGACTCATGGGATCATGGAATTGTTGAGGTTGAGAAAGCCCTCAGAGAGCACTGAGTCCAATGCTTCCCTGAGCGCTGCCAAGGCTACTAATAACCATGTCCCCAAGTGCCACATCCATATCGATGTTAAACCCCTCCAGAGATGGTGACTCCTCCCTGGCACTGGGCAGCCTGTGCCAGGGCTGGACAGCCCTTTCTAGGAAGGATTTTCCCAATATCCAAACTGAACCTCTCCTGGCACAGCCTGAGGCTGTTTTGCCTTGTCCTATCCCTTGTTCCCTGGGAGTAGAGCCTGACCCCCACTTGGCTGCACCTCCTGTCAGGGAGTTGTGGAGAGCAGTTCATTTCCCCTAATCCTGAGAGTGTGTTGTACCTCATTCCAAGAGATTCCTTGAGGTAGGAAGGGATAAATGCTATGGTAGAAGCTGGTGTCACATGGGATGATTGGTCTGGTGTAAGCAGCACCTAACACATTGCTGCACTCTGTCAGGGAGTTGTAGAGAGCCTGAAGGTCTCCTTGAGTCTCTTTTTCTCCAGGCTGAGCCCTGCCTTGTCCTATCCCTTGTTCCCTGGGAGCAGAGCCTGACACCCACATTGCTGCACTCTGTCAGGGAGTTGTAGAGAGCCTGAAGGTCTCCTTGAGTCTCTTTTTCTCCAGGCTGAGCCCCCCCCAGCTCCCTCAGTCCCTCCTGGTGTTCCAAACCCTTCCCCAGCTCCATTCCCTTCCCTGGACATGCTCCAGTAATTTCTCCTGGCACTCCCCATGGCTGAATCCAGGGAGCTTTAACCTCCTGCTCAGGGATTGGTGCCATAACAACATCCTTGTGACACAGCCTTGCCAAACACGGGTTTTTTCCTTAAAACAGTTTAATGAGAAGACAGGAAAGATGGTGGTGACCAGGAACATCCCAACTGGAAACCACCAACGAATAGTGCCAGGACAAGGGGGAATGGCTTCCCACTGCCAGAGGGCAGGAGTAGATGGGATATTGGGAATGAATTATTGGCTGTGAGGGTGGTGAGGCACTGGCACAGGTTGCCCAGAGCAGCTATGGCTGCCCCATCCCTGGAAGTGGTCAAGGCCAGTCTGGATGGATCTTGGAGCAGCCTAGGCTAGTGGAAGGTGTCCCTGCCCATGGCAGGGAGTGGGAGTGGAGGATCCTTAAATTCCCTTCTAACACAAACCATTACAGGATTCCATGATTCAATCCTCCCCTTGCTGGCGCCTCCCAGTCAAACCCAGTTCCCTACAAGCCCCATACCCCACTTTTGACCCCCATTCCACCTTCACAGCCATTTCTCCTCCCAAACCCCCTTGTTGGGTTGTGTCACAGGGAACACAATCCCATTTCCTGCCCCGGAATCATTGCTATCCCATCCCTGGCAATTTGTCGATCTGGATAATGATGGGCCAGATGCTCTTCTCAGACACCCCCCGTTGCTTGAATTTGTGGCACACAGAGTCCAATACCTGCGCAACCATCCGCAGCACCAACCGGAATATGTCCTGCAGTGATATTGGGTTGGAGTTCACCAATCCCACACCCCTTTCAACATTCCTGTTAGCACCAGGATAACGGAGCCGCCGGGGCCTCTGTGCCTCAGGGAGCCTCACTCCCTTCCTCACCCCTGTGGCAGTGCTTGGGGATGGGCGTGAAGTCCTCGGTTCCAACATTCCCTCTGGGCTGTGTTGTGTATTCAGTGTTATCCCTGAGGAGCAGCAGAAGCGGCCCCTGGGAAAAGACAACCCTCCACGTGTTCTCTCCACTGGAGCACGAGGGACAGCGCAGCTCGTGGGAAACCGGTAGGACCTGTAGCGCCGCAGTATCTCCTTGGCTTTCGGGGTGATCCCTCCCATCCGTATTTTCTGCCTGACCAGCCGCTGGAGTACAGCCTGAGCTTTGCTGCCGAGGGCAGTGATGCAGGCACCGTGTCTGCGCACCTGGCTGTGTTCATGGTCATCCAGTGCCGCAAAGCTGGCACAGCACTGCAAGGAATAGTTGTGCTCCTGCATGGAACACAGCTCTGAAGCACTGCAGGAGGGCCTTGGAATACTCTGCAGGCAGTAGCTGTGGTCCTTCATCACAGCTTCTCTCAGGTGCTCCATACGCTGCTCCTGGTTTCCCTGGAGAAGTGTTGCCTCTTCCAAAGTGTGTCCCTTGGTTTGGGAGCCTCTGTCACACCGAGCCCTGAGGTCACCACACGAATGCTCCCAAGGATCTGCCTCCACGTTCTGCTGTTCCAACACAGGACGAAGAGGGAATGTCCCACAGTGGATTACATTTTCCATGACTCCTTGTTTATACTCTGCTTTTTCCTTCACAGACCCTGCCTGGGCTGGGCTTCCCGATCCACCGTCTGCTTCCATTGGGAACTTGATCCTTTCCTCAAGACAGCCAAATGTCTCCAGGAGCTTCCTCTCCTTGAGACACCACGGAGTGCTCCATCCTGCTGGGAGACCAGTGAGAAGGGGTTGGCTTCTTCCTGGCTGGGGCAGGGAGAGGAAAATCCCTTTTCCCCAGTTTGCGACTGCACAGGCTCCATATCCCAACCTCTGCTAGAATGTTGGGAGAGCCCAGTGGTGGGAAAAACTTTTATGAGATCTTATCAGTAATGAGGGTGGCACAGGGATGGGGCCAGTGCCCACCTGGGGCTCTTAGCTCCCAAATCCAGTGGAGAGGAAGAGGAGGGAACAGGACTTACCTGGGCAGTGAGGTTCTAGCCCCTCCTCTGGCTTGTGACACCCACTGGCTCCAGGCCACCAGCTGGAGGGAGGCGCCTCCAGGCAGCTCCCGGCCCCAGAGTGTCCTGCAAGGAAACCATTGGATGTCACCATCCCAGCTGGGTATCCTGACTGCTTTGTGGATACAGGGATGGAGGAGGGAGTCCTGTCCCTGTCCCCACTAGGAATCCTGACTATTCCACAGACACATGGATGGAGGACGGAGCCCTGTCTGCCACAGCCGGGAATCCCATCTGCTCCACAGCCATGGGATGGAAGAGGGAGCCCTGTCCCTGTCCCTGCTCAGAGATGGCTGAACAAGGGGAAGTTTCTCCATGGGATGAAGAGGATGAGCAGATCTGTGACATTTCCACTGCTTCCATCTTCATCTACAGAGAGGGGAATGGGGGAGACACCCCAAAACAGGCAGTGAGCAAGGATACAGACAGGGATGAGGTGGGAACATGCTGGTGACAGCCACCACGGCGCTTGGAAGGTGCCACTACTCCAGGTGGTCCCATAGGATTGGGATGTTGCTGCTCACCCGGGGCTGGGCTCTGTGGAGAGCAGATCCATGGCTCCTCCCCACGCTCCAGCCGGTGTAGGATGTCGGGTTTGGGGCCTGGATAACCTGGAGGGGGAATAGAGTGTTGTCCCATCCCAAACCACTGAAATACATTCTTAACATTGGAAAGTCAGACACTGAGACATCCTGGCTATGCCTCATGACACATGGAAACACCTCTGGGAGGTGGGAAAAGCAAGGGAGACATTGGAGCTGCTGCTGGAGAGGAACATATTCCTGAGGATGAAGGCAGAGACCTGATGGGAGTGAGGGAACTAGCTCCCAGCTCCGCTGACAGAATTTCCCTAGCATAGAAATGTCTCCTGCTCATCCCAGGAGCAGCTTCCAGGGGTGGGACAACCCTCTGTGCTCCCTAACCTCAGGGAAACATTTCCAGAGGTGTTCAGCACAAACAGACACAAATCCTGCCTTCTCCAGTACAAAATTCCCTGATCAGCCCCTGTTAGAGCAAATTCCTTCTGGAAAGGGCTGTCCAGCCCTGGCACAGGCTGCCCAGGGCAGGGAGGGAGTCACATCCCTGAAGGAATTTAACATCCATGTGGATGTGGCACTTGGGGACATGGTTATTAGTAGCCTTGGCAGTGCTGGGGAATGGTTGGACTTCTGGTTCTCCAAGGGCTCTTCCAACCTCAGTGACTCTGGGATTCTGGGTTTCTGAGCTCTGGAAACTGCTGCGGGATGGAACACAAGGGAAGTTCCTGCCCAAGTGCCCCCGGAGGTTACCCAGGGATGACAAGAGCTCATAGGTGTCCGACACAACATCCTGGTACAGCTCCCGCTGTCCCTCCTGAAGCGCGTCCCACTCCGCACGGCTCAGGTACACGGCCACGTCCTCGAAGGTCACCAGCCCTCAGGGATCACACACTTCCTGCCACAGGAATCACATCCTCCCACAGGGATCACACCTTCCCTCCCATGGGAGAACCCTTCCCAGACTTTTGGTTTTCCATGCACTAT